TTACACTTGTAATCTCAGCACTTTGGGAGGCCAAGACTGACAGATCACTTGAGGTCAGGAGTTCGAGACCAGACTGGACAAAATGGCAAAACTCTGTTTCTACTAAAAATGCAAAAATTAGGTGGGCATGGTGGTGCATGCCTGTAATTCTAGCTACTCAGGAGGCTGAGGCAGGAGAATTGCTTGAGGCCAGGAGATGGAGGTTTCAGTGAGCTGGCATTGTGCTACTGTACTCCAGCCTGGATGAAGAAGTGGGACTGTCTGAAAAAACAAAACACACACACACATAAAAACAAAAACAAAAAATATTGGGTGCTGAGGCCAAAGTGACTAGCTTATATTCTACTAAGAATCTTCCAAGAGATATACTATATGGTTTTATTAAGTTACATTTTAGCCTTCTTTTTAGTTAGAATTATAGTTCCTAACTTCTCTGTTTGCATACATTTTCCTTCCTTTTAAGATTAAAAGGAACTTTATCCTGATGTTAGGGTTGGTCACATAATCTACACACACACACACACACACACACACACACACACACACACAAAAGTTCGGGTGGGTGTGACAGCTCATGCCTGTAATCCCAGCACTTTGGGAGGTCAAGGTGAATGGCTCACCTGAAGTCAGGAGTTCAAGACCAGCCTGGCCAACACGGGGAAACCCTGCTTCTACTAAATATACAAAAAGTAGCTAGGCATAGTGGTGGGTGCCAATAATCCCAGCTACTTGGGAGACTGAAGCAAAAGAATCACTTGAATCTGGGAGGCGGATGTTGCAGTGAGCCGAGATCCTGCCACTGCACTCCAGTCTGGGAGGCAGAGTGAGACACTCCGTCTCAAAAAAAAAAAAAAAGAAAGAAAGAAAAGTCCTTTCAAGATAGCTTTTCAGAAATATGTGACTGCATGACTGCCAAAGTACAGTACAGTAAGACTTCTCCACACATGGCTGAATAAACTCTTGTAGAACATTGTGGACAAGAATTTAGATTGGGATGTCAATGACCTGCCTAGTTAATTAGAGTGGACATTCTTCTTTTAGTAGAATAGCATGTTCTTTTGCAGTGATATATTTCTGAAAGAGGATCTTCAAACAGCACAAGGATTCATTGTTTTCTATTCCTTAATGATTTGGGAAGAACAAATTGTTTATGTATGTAGGCCAAGTATGTTTTCTTATCATGCCTTGTTTTATGCATTAATTATTCTTTAGTTATTTATTTAGATTGATTCCTTCCAGGACTGATTTCTCCTCAACAAAAGGACAAATGTTAATTCACATCACTTCAGAAATGACCTAAAAGTCATTAGAAATATCTTGAGTGGAGTTAACACATCATATGGAACTGTTCTGGAAGTTGTGTTAATTAGCTAATGAACCATTCTCTTTAAATCTGTCAAGAACAGAGCCAAACAGATAACTTCAGAGGCCTTATCTCTGTAAACTTTATATTATTATTATCTAGTGTAACCTTGCAACAAACAAACAAAAACCCACCCAGAGAACTTCACTATCCTCATTCTATTCTGCATTGTTATTGTAGGACTTATCCGTAGATGTAGCTGCAGGCACTAGCAAATGACCTCCTCAGAGGACAACCCAGAGAAAACTCGCTACAAAGAACCCCAGCAAAGTGCCCAATATTCAGGTTTTGAAGGACTATTGTGTTGCTCTGTGTGTGTGTGTGTGTGTGTGTGTGTGTGTGTGTGTTTGCTATCAACTTAGCAGCTTTCCTAAGATTAAAAACAAATGATTTTTAAGTAGCATTTGATAAACAAAACGGTGGAATGTATTTCTGAGACTGACTACAGAATCAGCTACCCAGCCTTTAAAAGGAGAATTTATATCTTTTTAATAACAGTATTAATAATGGTAGGGTAATTCAGGAGAAATCCTTCAAGAGTCAAAGTAATGCAGAGTGACCACTCTATGTTTCTTAGAATAAAAAATTCCATAACAAATGAACTTAATTTTCTTAAAATTGTTCACACACACAGTGCAAGGCCTAGGGTTTTTAATTTATTAACAAGCTTACAAAATCTATTTAGTTCCTTCTAAACAACAGTTAGCAAGCTTTAGTGAGGCAGAAGTCTGGAAATTGTTCTTCAGCCAGGGGCCAGGCCTTGTACACCTGGTTTCTGAACAATGTGAACTTCAACAATGTGAACCTCAGTGGAACTGTAAAGGTTACCAAATAGAAAAAGTGCAATGACCCAATTTCTCTGTACACATGTACCATTTACTTTACAACCTTGGAGCCTGATAAATAGGAAGTGTCTCATCCTGTTTTCTGAGCTGGCAGTGTTTGTCATGCAGGTAAAATACAAGCAGGTCGAATCTCATATTGTGCTAAATCACAGCATTCTGAAAAACTTGGGACCTTGCAAAAGGCCACATCTCAAAAAATTTACTGCTTCAAATAAATGTGCCATTTTATAAAATTATACCTACTGTATCAGAAAAAAAAGTGTTCTCTCATGTGAGTGACATTTATATGACTGCCATTTGTAGGGAATAGGACATTCTCACATAACAAGGCTGAGGAATGAGTTTGAAAGCTGAGAGTATTCTCTGAATGATAAATGTGGTAGAACTTTAAGATGCTCCTGTGGGAAGAGACTCTCCCCCCACAGCTGCAGAGTTTCCTTATAAAAATGGAACCTGCGTTATTATGAAAAATAACACAACTACTGAATTATAGTTGTAGCATTAAGAATATTTTCCATATATTTCAAACTTGCAGCATCTTTTGTCATGGCTTTTCACCTTATTAGAGTTGAACTTTGTGGATCATCTGGCCCAGTGGCCAGCCTTTTATTTTATTCTCCCTCCCCTCCTCTATTCTCCATCCAATTCATTTTCTCGGCTCACTGAGACCAGGTTCAAGCGATTCTCCTGCCTCAGCCTCCTGAGTAGCTGGGATTACAGATATCGACCACCATGCCTGGCTAATTTTTGTATTTTTACTAGAGACTTGGTTGCATCATGTTGGCCAGGCTGGTCTTGAACTCCTGACCTCAAGTGATCCACTGGCATTGGCCTCCGAAAGTGTTGGGATTACAGGCTTGAGCCACCATGCCCAGCCTCCACTACAGCAATCTTTTAAAGAAAGTTCCTGGCAACCAACAGAATGGGAAAAAATTTTTGCAGTTTACCCATCTGACAAAGGGCTGATATCCAGAATTTACAAAGAACTAAAACAGATTTACAAGAAAAAACAAACAAGCCCATTCAAAAGTGGGCAAAGGATATGAACAGACACTTTACAAAAGAAGACATACATGAGGCCAACAAACATATGAAAAAAATGCTCATCATCACTGGTCATCAGAGAAATGCAAATCAAAACTATATTGAGATACCATGTCACACCAGTTAGAATGGCGATCATCAAAAAATCTAGAGACAACAGATACTGGACAGGATGTGGAGAAATAGGAACACTTTTACACTGTTGGTGGGAGTGTAAATTAGTTCAACCATCGTGGAAGACAGTGTGGCGATTCCTCAAGGACCTAGAAATAGAAATTCCATTTGGCCCAGCAATCCCATTACTGGGTATATATCCAAAGGATTATAAATCGTCCTACTATAAGGACATGTGCACACGAATGTTCATTGCATCACTGTTTACAATAGCAAAGACCTGGAACCAACCCAAATGCCCATCGATGATAAACTGGACAGGAAAAATGTGGCACATATACACCATGGAATATTATGCAGCCATCAAAAACGATGAGTTTGTGTCCTTTGTAGGGACATGGATGAACCTGGAAACCATCATTCTCAGCAAACTGACACAAGAGCAGAAGATCAAACACTGCATGTTCTCACTCATAGGTGGGTGTTGAACAATGAGAACACATGGACACAGGGAGGGGAGCACTACACACTGGGGTCTGTTGGGGGGAAATAGGGGAGGGACAGTGGGGGGTTGTGAGTTGGGGACAGAGAGCATGGGGAGAAATGCCAGATATAGGTGATGGGGAGGAAGGCAGCAAATCACACTGCCACGTGTGTACCTATGCAACAGTCTTGCATGTTCTTCACATGTACCCCAAAACCTAAAATGCAATAAAAAAAAAAGTTCCTAGGCAGGTTGCAGTTGCTCATGTCTGTAACCCCAGCACTTTGGGAGGCTGAGGTGGGTGGATCACGACGTCAAGAGATCGAGACTATCCTGACCTACATGATGAAACCTGGTCTGCACTAAAAATGCAAAAATTAGCTGGGTGTGGTGGTGCGAGCCTGTAATCCCAGCTACTCAGGAGGTTGAGTTAGGAGAATCGCTTGAATCCTGGAGGTGGAGGTTGCAGTGAGCGGAAGTGGTGCCACTGTGCTCCAGCCTGGCGACAGAGGGAGAGTCGAACTAAAAAAAAAAAAAAAAAGAAAGAAAGAAATCCTAAATTACCATCCAGAGGTGGGGGAGAAAATAATGCAATTTTGTCTCTGGACAAACAAACGGAACCGAGGCTTCATTTACTCTTCACAATAAATTATATTCTGAACAATCTTTCTCCAGAAAAATAACCTTTAAATTGCATAAGGAAATTTAAAGGTTAAATTTCCAAGGATGGAAGTGGTTGCAGGTATCAGGACAAATTTTTAGGTCCTGGTCAAGAAGCAGCCTTGGATCTGAGACGGTGAAGATTGCTAAAGCCACATTCTTCCAGCCTACTTTCTGATGGGCGCCCCAAGAGTGGGCCAATCCAAAAATAAGATGCAGAGAAGAATCCAGCCCCCTAAGTTATCCCCCTCTGGGCTTCTTTGCGCACTGGGGTAGGGGTGAGCATTAAGCTCCAGGAAGTCAGAAGCTTGCTGAATCGCGGGGCAGCCTCAGGTGACTTTCCCCGAAAGAGATGCCAGGGCGCGGCGGGGAGTTTGCGAGCACCTGCTCCTCAGTGCGAGCGTGCTGGGGAGTGGGGTGCTAGCAGCAGGGACTGGGGGTGAGCTGAGGCAGATGAGGGACGGGAGCCTTGTGACGAGAGGTGACCCACCTGTGGGAGAGGCGCTTCCAAGAAGGAAGCGTCCAGCGCAGCCGGTGAGCGCCGCGGGCCGGGCGAGTAGAGCGAAGCTGCGCGGCGTCTGCAGCTCAGTGCTGCGGCTTGTGGCTTTCGCTCCTATAAGAAGCCAGAGAAGGGCGGGACGGCCCGCTAGATTTCGCAAGAGAAGTGGTGAAGAGCTTGTTTCCTGGAAGAGTTCAAGCTGAGAATCCCAGCAGCTAGAAGGACCGGAACTTCTATGCTGAGCTGCCCCTGAGCCCCGGGAAGCGGGGATTTTAAGGGTTTTCCCGAGCCCTTGGCATCTGTGCATCCCAGGGTGATTGAGGTTTGGAAAGGTCTAGGATTCCCCCTCTCCTGAAGGAACTAGAAGGATCTCTTAGAGTAGCTGAGAAAACAGCACCTGGACTAGTCTTCTAGCCATTTCTTTAGCCATCTTGTCTCAGCTTATAGAAATGGTAGTATCTTTCCCCTCTGCCTGGAAGCCCTGGCTTCTTATGGGGCGCATAACTTGGAAGAGCTTGAGTTTTCAGGTCTTGATTTAGGTAGATTAAAGAAATAACACAAATGAAAAAGGGATAGGGATACTTTTATCATATGAATTGACATGTCTTTCTACATAGAAGGTCAAAAACCACAGCCCTGGTTAAGATTGAAATAATCCTGATAATCTATGGGACAAAGTGTTCCTACACTCCCAAACTCTGTAATCTAAATCACAGGGTCCTCCCAATGATCTCCACCTACCCATAGGTCTTAAATTCCACAGCATACACTTGCCAAGCTCCAGAGGCCCAGTCACATGGGAGGCCTGTTCCTCCCTTGGAAAAGGGTTGTTGAGTCAACCCTCGCTTTGTCTGGATTACAACTCTCCTCATAGCTTCTTGTGGGGTTGCTTCAGACCCCATGTCTTTCAAGAAGTCTTTTCCGAGCCACTCTTTGCAATCAATATTTTCTTTCTCTATACAGAAGTTTATAATTTTAGCATAGCAATTAAGACAATTTGCCTTTTGAAAGAGTTACCGTGTGTGTCTCTTGTCCTTGACTGCAGTCTCTGAGGGATGACACCCTAGCCTTTTCCGCCTGGAATTCTCCGCAACACTTAGAAAGTGCATAGCTTAATAATGGGGATTTATTCTGAGGAATGCCTCATGAAGCAATTTCGTCATTGTGTGAACATCATACAGTGCACTTATGCAAATGTAGATGATATCACCTACTACACGCCTAGCTAGATGGTATATAGCCAATTGCTCCTACTCTACAAACCTGTTCAGTATGCTACTGTACTCAATACTGTAGTCAATTGTAACACAGTGGTATTTGTATATTTAAGCATAGAAAAGGTATAGTAAAAATGTGGTATAAAAAATAAAAAAATGGTATACCTGAATGGAACACTCAAAATGAATGGAGCTTGCAGGACTGGAAGTTGCTCTGGGTGAGTCAGTGAGTGAGTGTGAGGGCCTAGGATATTCATATACCCTACGGTAGACTTTATAAACACTACACTTAAGCTATGCTATTGTAAGAAATATTTTCCTTTCTTCAATAGTAAATTACCCTTAGCTTACAGTAACATTTTTACTTTTTAAGCCTTTAATTTTTAAAAAACCTTTTTGACTGTTTTGTAACAACACAGCTTAAAACACATATTGTGCAGCTGTACAAAATACTTTCTGTCTTTATGTCCTTATTCTATATGACTGGCAATGTAGTAGGTTTCTTTACACCAGCATTACCACAAATTCAAGTAATGTATTGTGCTATGATGTTATGACAGCTACAGTGTCCCTAGGCAAGAAGAATTTTTCAGCTCCATTATAATTTTATGAGACCATTATTTTATATGCAGTCTGTCATTGACCAAAACATTGTTAGGTGGTGCATGAGTGTAATGGGTACTGAATATTTATTGCACTCATTAATTAATAAATCTACTGCCAATTATTATATTTTGCTAAAAGTTCATCTGATGGTATTCTTTGGTCAGGGAAGAACTTAAAATATTCATTGATTTCATAGCATCTGATTTTCCCAGTTTTCAGACTGATAGGTATAAGAGGGGTATATACTCATGGAAGAAGTTCTGCTGCATGTCCCTAACAGTCTTCATAGATGGTCAACACAGTTTTGGAGACTTGCCCCTTGTCTACCATTTGGTTTTAAGCCTTGATGGGCAAAGAAGCTTGATTAGCACACTGAATCTGATACAAGCAAAATGGTGATTTGTTAGTTGTTAATGGAATATAAAGCGAATAGTTACTGTGAAAATAAAGTTGCTAAGGGCACCAGGCGTTATAGCCATCACATTCTTTTCCTGTATACACATCCTGTGGAAACTATTTTATATGCAGAAGGCTGCTGGATAAACAGAGGGATGAGTTATAAAATTCCAAGTTTTACTGGCATCTGGTTAAGAGAGTAGCTGCATGGATGCATGCCATTTAGAAGCAGAAGCTGGGGTCTGTGGATCAGGTCAGTCTGGTTTTCTAGGTGGTATCTGGATCCATTATGAGTTGACATAATGGACAGCCATACTCTCAAATGCATCTTCCAAGTAATAACAGAATCATTGCTTTATAAACTTATTATTATCAGGTGGCTAAAAAATTTTGAAATGAGATTTTTATGAGAGGCAGATATATTTCAGTTATGTAAGTTCTTTTCTTTGCCAAAGGCAACTAGAGTTCTAGAAAAGGAAGATTAAGTACTGGGATATGAAGGATGGAAAAAATGGCTTTATTAGTGCAGAACTTAAGAGGCACTTGATGTATTTATCTTGTGGTTTAAAGATTGATTTTCCCCTTGGGCCTAGGAGGGACACACAATTCATAACTCTCCTAGTCTTTCTGTAAACCCTTGCCATAGGGGAAAATTAAGCTTCCAAAAGATGCCAGCAACCTGAGTACCCAAGGATTTCCTGTTGGCAGGATTCATCCTTCTTCCCGTAGTTTTATAATCAGTGCTCCAGATAAACCTTCCCATATGTTGTGCACATCTGGGGTTCCTGGGAACCAAAGGGTTCCTTCTTAAGGATTTTCACATTTACTGTGCCCCTGAGTCTTTACTGCTACTTCCTCTCTCACCATCCTACTATGCCAAAGGCCCCAAATGGCAGAATTTAGGCAAACCGATGAAGTAGGCCTAGAGCCAGTGCTCATTTAATGTTATTAAGTGATTGAGTAAAAGTTGCCTTTAACATTTTGTGTTTCCCTTTCAGTGTCATTTTTCTCCTTTTCTGGGGCTCCCCTCTGCACTACCTTGTGTCTTGCCCATTTATTCCTCTTCCCTAAGGCCTCTCCTTACAGTGTTCCATACCTTATTACGGGGTAGGGTGGAGCTGCCAATGGGTGCTGGACCAGCAGGGGACTGACTTGATAGTCTATAATTAGTGTGTGTATGCAAAACTGTTATTGACTTAAAGATTTGCCCTCTAGCTCCTTTTGAAAAATATATTTTTTAAGGGCTGCTGGAGATGTCTCTGCCTAACCCCCCAAAATGAATCTCTATGAAAAGAATTTCAGGCACTCTAAGAGTTTTTTGAGTATTGGTGTAAGGAATATTTTGTCTTTTGCTTACCTAGCATCCAGGACCAGGAGTAACTGAGGTGCATGAAGAGGCTAGGGCACCAAATTTGTGTAGGTGCTCACTCTCAAAACTCAGTCTGCACGAACCTGAAAATGAATGTCTTCTTAAATGTTGCTCCTTTGGTGCCTCACTTGCCTGCTCTAGTCCTGGCCCTGCAGCATCCATTTCTCTAATTATATCTTCGTTTTCCTTTGATAAAATTGTGCCCTTGCACAATCTTGATCCATGTGGTTCAAGTTGAACCGACGGCAGTACTCGGGCTCGGGTTCCAGGATCAGGCACCTGACTTAGGCCTGGCCGCTCAAGGCGCGAAGTCTTGTCCACAGTGATTGGTTCAGTGATGACATGTGACCTGAGTTGGGCAAGTAGGAATCTTTCCTGGAAAACCTGGGAAGCAGCACACTCATTACGGAGGGTTGTGGAACTGCTACAAAGTAAGCCTTGGTCACTGTGATGAGAAAATCAGCCTGAGAAAGAGGCCACTCTAGGGGAAAAGAGAGCAAAGAGATGAGGAGAGACAGATTTCTGCAATTGTTAGAGTGTCATATCTGAAGAAAGCTGTATACTCCGGGCTCTTTAGTGACATGAGTCAATAATTGTCTCTGTTATTTGTATAAAATGGGATTGGGTAGGGTGAGAAGAACACCTGCTCAGTCAGGCTTGTGTGATTTTAATGCCTACTGATGTGGCTTCATCACAACACGTGGTCAGAATGAGGAAGGCGCTTGTTATTAAAGAAAACAAAGCAAAACAAAAACCTTTCTGAGTTTTCTTGTAATAGCTTTGGGACTTGGATAAATAATCAATTTCTTTGACTGAAGTTTCTCAGCTACTTCCTGCTATATTCAGAAATTAATTTTCCTGTCTCAGGAAACTTTTTTTTTCTACTTCTTTCCTATTCTAGTAGGGGTGGACAGATAGAATCCTTCTCCTTCATTTTCCTGAAACTGCAAAGGGTATAGTGAAGAAACCAAGCCATTGACCTGGTTTTAACCAATTTCTAGGATTCCTGCCAACACAGACAAGGAAGCAAAACCAAACAACATTTTGCTGCCCACCTGTACCCAAAAAAAGTACTGATGGGAAAGTACGTCAGACACTGACAGTATTGGCGTCTGGACTAGGGATAATGTCAGGAATGACAACAAAGAACTTAAAAATAAGACCTAAGGAACTTGACTTTAGGTTTAAAAGAAGGTCAAAGAGGAAGAATTGAGTATGTGGGATAAGGGAATAATAAATTTTAAAATATCACTAACAAAGCCTAGAAGTGACAGACAGCTGCAGCTACTTCTGGGAACTGAAAATAGGCAGGAAACTCTGTCCTCTTTATCTGGGTCTCTGACTCTCTGGGTCACAAGGTCTGTGTTAATTTTCGGAGGCTTCCAAGGCACTGGCAGGGCTATGGACTGACTATCACCAATAGAAATCTGGAGGTCGCCCAAGACCACGCCTGCTGACCTCAGAAGAGGTCACTTAAGTATGAGGTTACCAAAGAACAAGATGTGTAAAATATTTTGAAGAGATGGAGAAATATTTTAGTTGAGTTAATTTTTTTGATAAATGCAGCTGG